CGCTAAAGCATAAGGGCATTTCAGCCTTTATAGTACCAAAGAATATTAAAGGATTTTCATTAGGCAAAAAAGAAGACAAACTCGGTATACGTGCGTCGTCCACGTGCCAATTAATTTTCGAAGACTGTGTTATACCAAAAGAAAATTTATTGGGAGATCCTGGATATGGGTTTAAAATTGCTATGCAGTCGCTCGACGCTGGTCGAATAGGCGTTGCTGGACAGGCTTTAGGAATTGCTCAGGCATCTTTAGAGGTTGCATGTGAATATGCCCAGAAAAGAAATGCATTTGGAAAGCCAATATCAAAATTACAAGCAATACAGCAAAAACTAGCGGATATGGCACTTCGTGTGGAAGCAGCTCGATTGCTTACTTGGCGAGCTGCTTGGTTAAAGGATAATAAAAAATCATTTAGTAAAGAAGCGGCTATGGCTAAGTTAGCTGCATCTGAAGCAGCTACCTATTGTTCTCATCAATGTATACAAGTTTTAGGTGGTATGGGTTATGTTACAGACATGCCCGCTGAACGTCATTATCGCGATGCACGAATAACTGAAATTTATGAGGGAACATCTGAAATACAAAGATTAGTTATTGCTGGTGCTGTACTAAAGGAAATGGAGACAAACTAAATTGTATGACAACACAATAAATTAATCACACTATATACACAAAACTATTGATCCTTACATTTTTGATATGTTCGTTTTTATATAATAAATATTATGAATGCATATAAAATTATGTGTAATTGCTTATTAAATGCTCAGGGTTACCGTAGAATCTATAGAATTCTCAAATAAATAATTAAAATATTTTCGTGTGTTATTCACTAAAAAATGTTTGATGGAGCAAATTGCTTTCGTAAGGTTTCATCAAATAATGGAATCACTTCTTTGATTTGTAGCTGCATTAAATCAACGAAAATAGATGAAATTAAGAGAACTCTATAAAACTTAGTTAAATTTATTATAACCAAGAATACAAATATAGATATATATTTTTTCTACTGAATGTTTATTAAATTTAGTAGATCATAGTTTAATTCATTCATTGTGCCTTATAAAAATTTATGTCTTCTCCACTGGTAGGACTGTGTTGAGGTAGATAACGCTCGTATGTTGAAATGTTTTCGTCCTTTTAACATGATTGTTTAAAATGGTGAACCATAAATGATAGAAGTGATATTATCTATATTGTTATATTTTTCATTTAAGTTTAAATTATGACATTAATAATATAATATGTGCTATAGTATTTGGTTTATATTTATATAAATTTGCCTGCGCAAATCGAGAGTAGCATATAAAAATTTCTTGAACTGCTAACCCTTTGTAAACAAATTCAAACAAATCGTTTAAAGTATGTATTGTTTCAATTTAATTTATTAAAAAATACTAATAAATTTTATCTATATTGTTAACACACTTTAAAAGAATAAGACACTGGTGAGCGTAGTGTGCAAATAAGGGCGTATTTATAGAAAAATACTATAATACACATTATTATTATTAATATATTCATTTTATAGTTTCTGCAGTTCGTTGGTGTTCAAAGTGATAATTACTAAATTAGAATTAAAAATATACAAAAAATGTACCATGAACCTATTAAATAAAAGTTTATTCTTAGCTTTTAATTTAGAACAATATTTTTACTTGGTATAATACAGCATATATGATATTATGTTGTTTTAAGATCCATTTTTATTGATGCGTACTAATTATTTGCGGAGCTAGACTTTAATAATAAACTCACTTAATTCCTAAACGATTCCCCACTCTGATGAGCCTATAGCGTTTCCTATGAGAAACGCGTCACTGAAACCTTATAGATTGACAGACGGTTATTAATTTCTCAAATATCTGTTGATATTGGTTAACTATAATGATACTTTCATAATAAACGTAAATACAGATGGATATTGGCAAGAATATATAATGTATAATTTGTAATATATTTATGTAAATGTATTTGATAAGGTTACATGTTATGTTAGGCCTATTTTAATCGTGTCTCTAGTGATTAGTCGTCATTAATGTCTGGAAGGTGCATGAGAGTTTCGACGCTGTCAGGGGACGTACTGTTCTTATGCATGCCGCAGTGGATGATATATTTGTCACCGCTCCCTGGCGGGATACGAGGTTGCTGTATACCTAAGAAATGGATACGTGGACTCCTCGTACTTATTTGTAATGTTGATCTTTGAATTTAAGTTTCAGCAGTGAATAATATGCCGACAATATACTGAAGGCAATATACTGTTTTTGTAGCCACAGTTGGTTATAGGCTCATGATAGTGACAGAATGCAACTTTTGATGCCCCACTTTGTTGACTCCAATTAGTAACTGAACGTCTAGACACGAAATTTTGATTCAGATGTACTGTTTTAAACTTAAATAAAAGATTATTTTATACATTGTATTTTTAATTTATTTTTTATAGTTTACTTTTATAAATATATTGCCAATGTTTCAAAGTTTTTTCTTGTTTGACAATTCATTTATTCAAAAAGCCCTTTAAAAAATTTAAACATACCTATGTATATTATTGCTTTAAATTTAATTAATATTCATATAAATCTCTCACGGTTAGCTGCTTCATCTACAGTTAAAAAGGCAGTTCAAATACTGGTATCAGCGATTTCGGAAACCATTTGTCTTATTTTTGATCAGATAATGTTTTGAAATGAGTATTATAAAAATTTTAACCAGTTACCGAGCATAGTATTTTATTTTTTTGTTTGAAATAGCAAACACTTTACAAATAATTGAATATAAGTCGCACTTCATGGGCAGTATTGCTTGATTTTCCCCGACATAAATGGTTATATAGTTAAATGGAAAAACTGCAGTAGGAGCAATCGACATGCCACATTATTTCCACCTAGTTGTGGTGAAGTATTTTCAATTTTCTGATACTTACAATACACTTAGATCCTGTTGAAGATTGTCTTAAATCTTATTTCGCTGATCAAATAACATTTAAAAAAAAAATTGATGAATTATGTTTTTTTTTTTCGAATTTAATTTTGACCTTCTTAAATTATTTTAAAACTATATTAAACTCTATCACGAACTTTATAGGAGTAACTCGGATGAGTTAGAGTAAAATTAAATATCAGAAACTAGGTGTAATAGTGCAAAACGAATACGCCATTGGTCCTAATTACCTGGAAATCGTATAATATTTAATATGCATATTTAATTAAATAAAATAATTATTAGAGAAGTTTCGAATAGTAGTAAGCTACAACAACAAAAAATATTTTTATATTATTTTAATTAATTGAATATTTGGCTGACCATACAGCTGTTTTGAGTATTGCCAAATACCCATCATCAGTAATCTTGGAAATAATTCTTGCATTTAATTATTCGTAAATAATTTTTTTGACTCTGCAAATACCAGAATCGAAATCGTGCCCTGCCAAGTTTGAAGCGCAGAGTCAGCGCTTCTTAACCAAACATTCCTTTAATGATTTACCTAATGTAGATTATTTTTAGTTAATTTAAAAATAGAAATATGGTATTAATATATTTAATATAAAGAAATGCAATTCTTCATCTTGTTTTAGCCATGTACTGAGATTAATAGTTATAATTACAATAAGAACGATTAAGCTCGTCGTGGTTTTATTCATAATTTAAAACAGTTGGATGTGATAACTAAAAATTAACTTAAAAAAAAAGATCAAACAAAGAAAATTTAACGTTTTTTAGCTTAGGATACAAAGTGATGTTCAGTGATGAAAGATGTATTGCCATGAAGAATAATTCGTTTGTGAGAAGCGTTTTTCATACTTTCCTGCGAATCGCTGAGAAGTGTTGTTGTTGTAAACCGCCGGGACCTGCTTGTGGAGTCCCTTTGAGAGGTATTGAACGGTACTTGGTCGTCGTAGGTGACGAGTGGCATTCGACTACTAAGTTTAATTCCATTAAATCTTTTTTATTTGTATTAATATTTTCCAAATTACGAATAACTTTCTGTCGATCGTAAAAGTTGTTCGATTGAAAACAAATTTAAAAAATTTTAAAAATAACCTAAGATCTTAATTCTAAGTAGACTGATGAACAAAGACATTTTAAATATTATATATAAGTATAAAAATTAAAACTTAATTAGAAAGTTAATTAAATTTTTTTATGTATTAAACAGAATAAACAAAGTCAAATTATACAAAATTTATATGCATTTAGATTATCTATTTGCTTTTATTACTTTCGATTTAGTGAGTTTATTTCCAACTTTGACTTTAGACTGTTGTAAACTGGAGCAAAAAAGAACCTGTAGAGAAAAAGAACTTTATAATTATTTTATTTCAAAATCACAAAACTTAATACAAACTGCTTGAGCCCATCCAGCGAAAGGTCCATATATGGAACGATAATGATTTGCAATATCATTATAAATTTTTGTTGTCATTGTTTTAGACGTAGATAAATGTGGCATGTATGAGGTCTTCGCTGTCTTGAACATATGAACATCGATAGGAACTGCTTCTAAATGATTTAACGACATTAAACAAATACAATCTGCACATTTTAGACCAATTCCAGATATTTTTGATAGTTCTGAGCGTGCTTCGTAATACGGTATACTTTTTAATCCATTTAAATAATTATTACCACCATTTTCATGAATCTTTTTAACTGCTTGAGATATATATTTAGCTCTGTAACCAAATTTAGCTTCTTTTAACGTCGATTCCAACTATGAATTAAACTTTTAGCACACTTCTAATTTGTTTATAGTTTGAAAAATTAATACTTCATTTTGGTGTAGTAATAATTGGCTTAATGTAGGAAAAGTGTATTCATCTGCTCCATCAAAATGACCAATTTTCGTGCCATATTTTGTGCAAATCCAACGTACCATAGATGAAATTCTTTAATATACAAAAAGTCATTATAATCATTATAAACTAATAATGGAAAACAAACCTTCCAATATGATTGTTTTGACTGCAAATAAAGGATACTACATTTTCGAAAGGCTCTTGCTTCAGAACTCGCACTGCTGTTAACTTAGAATCCATTTTTGTAAAATGTTGATGTGCTGCTTTCCATTGTTCTATATGAAGCAACAGATCAAAGTCAATTCGTAAATATTCTCGTAACATATTTTCAAAGTAACTCTTCTGGTTGCAGATCTTTAATGGCACACTTGTTTGTAAAGGATAAGCTTTGAACTTCACTGAAGAACTGCTTTGCGTTAATATCCAAAATACTTCATATGCAACGCCTTTCCATTGTTTTTCTTGTTGTATATCTCTCCTCCAACTTTTAATATTTTTTAATATGTATTAAGATTAATAATATGTATTAAATAATTATTTACCGAAAACTTTGCCCACCGCATAACGTTAAATCTAGATTTAATTGATTTTCATCAATAAATATTTCACCATCATAGAATAATTCCATTTTAGCAACGTTTAAATCTAAAATTCTTTCCGCACATAATTTGACACAATACCCTAGGTGTCTTACACACTTTATACACATATAATTGAAGTCCGAAACCAAAGAATAAAACAAGAAATAAAAATGCAAGAATTCAGTTCATATTGCAAATGTTCAAGTCACGCCTATCTGATATAAAGTTCGATTAAAAATTGGTCACATTCACTTAAAAAAATAAAATTCTACTTTATAAGCAAATAATTAGATCTAAACTACTTTAAAGTCGTGTTACTTTTGGCAATGCTGCTCCATCCACCATCAGAAACCTTTAGACAATGTGCGAGTAAATTGATGGTATATTGAGGGTTATAGTAAATTGTGTCGATATGGCAGTGCATGTTGGTATTTATCAGAATTTCGAGTATGGCAACACGAAAATTATTATTATAAAAAACTGTTAAAAAGAAAAAGTAAGTTCCAATTGTCGCGTCTTCCGCCATTATTATTGGAAGGAGCCATAAATAAAATAATTTGTAATATTTAAATAAATAAAGTAGATAAAGTAAAGTAACTACAACAACCACTACATTGGTGAGCAAGCCGACGCTGAACACAAAAATGGCTACACAAGACCATAAATTTACCGAAAATACTACCCGAGTCACCGAAAACGCAACAAACGCTGCAATAAAGCTGCCAATGTCAACATTGATAAGAAACAACATTATCTTTGGTTTATACAGTTGGATTGCTTGTTCCAAGTCAACCACATAAAAGGCGACACTCAAAAGTTTGGCACGGTTATCGCGGGAGTGGATGCGTCGTTATTAGAACAGATTTATAACACCATACAAAATCCACCAGCAACTCAAAAGTACGAAGCTATCAAGCAAGTAATAATGAAAAACTTTGTGGATAGTGAACCAAAACGCATACAAAAACTAGTTAACCACTAACTAATTAACCACTAACAGCTTGGGGATAAAAAGCCATCTCATCTATTAAACGAATTACAACGCACTAGTGAAAACGAACAATTCTGAGAGGGTTAATGGTTACAACGTCTCCCTGTTGAAGTACAGACATGTCTAGCCACAATTCAAGTGGAATTACCCAAGATGGCAGAATTGGCAGACAATCTGAAACAATCCGTATAAATTGAACAATGCAAGGAACTTACGTCAACGTAGCTGCTCACGTCCCTACAGCAGCTCATATTCAACGTTATGCGTAAATCAAACAGCTTCAACGAGAAGTGACCAGACTAACGAAAATGATCTCGAAATTGTCGACCAAACACCGCTCAAGAACAAATCAACGTTCACGTTGAACATCAAGAAATCGGCAATGTCAAGATGATAGCGAAGAAAATAGCAGTACAAATTGTTGGTATCATAAAACATTTGGTTCAAGTACAAAGAATTGCAATCAGCCATGCGCATATTGCATAAAAAACTAAATCCGATTTCGTCCACGGCGGCAGAGGAAGTTGTAAACGAAACATCTATACGACTGTCCATCTACGACAATAAGACTAAAAAATCATTTTTAATCGACACGGGTGCAGATGTTTCACTTATTGCCGCCAAACAAAAAATTCAAATGCAAACATTAATAACTATAGAATACTCTACACAACATAAGGTTCTACGATCAAAACATTTGGTGAAATAAAGCTAACTCTAGCTCTTGGCTTACGAAGAAATTTCACATGGTAAATGGCCATGTGATCGCAGATGTAAACACTTTAATCATCGACGCTAATTTTTTAAATCATTTCGGATTAATAGTAGTCATTAAAATGAAACGATTGATTGACACATCGATAAATATTTGTTCAGCCACAAGCGTACGTAAGATAAGCGCACAAAAAATATCAACCCTGCACACATCTTGCAAAATTGCTGATCTACCAAAAAGTACATCGATATTACCAAACCAACACCGACAAATCGCCAGGTGACCAAAGTCACTCATCACATATCAACAAAAGGACCACTAATATGTGAGAGACTACGTAAATCACATCCAGACAAGTTAGCAACAGCGAAAGAAGAATTCCAAAAGTTAGTCACAACTATAATATGTCGTCCATCAAGTAGCAATTGGGCTAGCCCCTTACATATGGTAAAAAAACCAGACGGATGTTGGAGACCTTGTGGAAATTACCGTCGCTTAAATGCACTCACCATCCCAGATCGTTACCCAGTTCCTCATATTCATGATTTTACATACATGTTATATAACCAAAAAGTTTTTTCAACCATCGACCTAAATAAGGCATATCATCAGATACCAGTTGAACCGGTTGATATTCCAAAAAATGCAAACTCCGTTTGCATTATTTGAATTTACCAACATGACATTCGGAGTTTGCAATGCAGGTCAAACATTTCAACGCCACATTCACAAAGTATTACGCGATCTCGAATTCGCATTTGCCTATATTGACGACGTCATTATTGCATCAGCAAATGAAGAATATCGATTCAGAAAACATGGTTTAGTAATAAACGTATCAAAATGCGTTTTTGCTAAAAATACAGTAGATCATCTAATCAGTGAAAAGGGCATTCAACCTCTACCAGATCGAGTGAAGAACATCATCGAGTACCCGCTTCCAACAAAACAAAACAATTAAGAAGATTTGTAGCATTACTCAACTTTTATCGCAGGTTCGTACCAAACGCAGCAGACTCTCAAATTGCACTTCAACAAATAATAAAAGGAAACAAGAAGAACGACAACACACCGTTATCCTGGACCGAATCAAACAAAACAACCTTCCAAAAATGCAAAGATGAACTAATAAACTCGACACTACTTGTTCATCCTTCAAAAACTGCTACGCTTGCATTACAAGTACACGCCTCGGATAAATCACTCGGCGCAGTTCTTCATCAAGTAATAGACAGCATGCTCCAACCACTCGGTTTTTTCTCTAAACGATTAACAGACACAAAAACGCTACAGCACGAACGATCGTGAGTTGTTAGCCACATACCAGAGCATAAAATATTTTCGACATATGTTAGAAGGTCGTGAATTCGTGTTAATAACTGACCACAAGCCACTTACGTTCGCGTTCTAGTGGCTTATGTTCCGACAATGCTTCACCACGTCAAGTCCGTCAGCTTGTTTATATAGGCTAATTTACTACTAATATCGTTCACGTCACCAGACAAGACAACATTTCAGCAGATTTCCTCTCGCGGATAGATAGCATCAGCATCCCAAAAACGATTGCGATTGTATAATTGGATTGCAACGATGTCCACAACTGCAAGATATCAAAAACAATAATTCTATCGAAATCAAGCTTTTGTCCTTACCAACAATATCAGACAAATTTTATTACGATATTTCAACTGGGCGAATTCGTCCTTACATTCCACAGAAATACTGATAGCTGAAAAATTTTTTTGGTCTTCTAAAAATGCTGATATTAGAAACTGGATCCGAGAAACTGGAAACCACAACTTCTGCAGTGTGGGATATGGGGAGTGCGCAGTTTCTCTGCGTGAATTCCTACACACCCATAACTATTAAGAACTGAAGTAAAGCTTGAGTTCACGCGATCTCTTTTTTGAGTTCCGAGGATTCATTACTATTATAGGTGGGCCATGTTAACCTGGAAGTCGGACATGACCTAAGTGCTTTCCATCTGTTATTGGCAAGTTGCAGAAAATAGAGAAAGGTACTTCTTTTAATAGTTTCCAGGGAAATATAAACTGGTACCGCCAGTGACACATTTAGGGAGGTACCAGAGCGGGCTATACTGTCTTTGTAGTTCCCGACAACGACTTCCTAAGTCCAGGAACCCAGATAAGGGTGCTATCAGTCAACCGATTTAGATCGGCGATTGCTTCTCTACATGCCTTTTTTTTATTTTGTTATGAAGGATTCAAGGGCTTTAATTGCTGCCTGGCTGTCCATAAAAATAGCGTCTGTCCTCGATGTGACTTGCAATTTGCCTACAGACTTCTCTCATTGCTAAGATTTCAGCCTGAAAAACTGTAGCCTCATTAGGTAGCCTAAGAGAATTATTTATGTTTTCAGATGATACAAAGATTCTTGCTCCTGTCCCAGAGTTCATTTTAAAGCCATCTTAAGATATTGAGATATCATAGTTTGCTTCGAAATTTTTCCTTTCCATTAATTTCTTGAAGGGAATATTGTCTGAAAATTCCTTTCGAAGTCTATGCACGGATTCAGATAGTCCGATGTCATCCTATACAGACAGTTTGGAACGGTACCTAGAATATCAGGAATATCAATATCAGAACAAATCCCCCATTTTTTGCCAAACATCCTTTTGCAATAATAAAAAGCTACACATGCCTTCTTGATACGAAGATCTACATTGTGTTTCCAGTTTAACTTAGTATTCTTAGTATCCAACAGAATTCCTAGATATTTGTCTTTTTCGGACAGTTTTAATTGGCTCCCGTTTAGTGAAGGCAACCTGAAAGTCAGAATTTTGGTTTTGGTGGTAAACAGCATCATTTCAGTTTTTTTTTAGTTAATACCTAGTCCACAACCTGTGGCCCAGGTACTTATCTTGATCAAGACCCTTTCTAGAATATCGCTTATTATGTTAGGGAACATACCTGACACTAGAATAACCACGTCGTCCGCATACGCTACTGCTTTCACCCCTATCTTATCTAGAATATTAAGAATATTATCTACGACCAGCAGCCACAGTAGTGATGAAATAACCCTTCCTTGTACTGCCTAACTTTGACTGAATAGTCGTTGTTTTTAGCATAGTAACTACCAATTTTTTAACTCTTCCTCTAAACCTATTCTGGAAAGCGAGTCATGGATAGCTTTATTGGTTACATTGTTAAAAGCCCCCTCAATATCTAAAAAAGTTACCAACGAGTAAATGAATCGATTTTTCCACAGTACGAATGATCTCATGTAGAGTT